GACTTGAAAAAAAAATCCACCTAATCAATATCCTAACCTTTGAACTAGCCTATCCTGCCAAACATAGAAACTTCTAAGTAAGATACTCTCAAACAGACATCATGTTCCATGAAATGCTGGATTGTCATCAGCTTAAGACTATCCATGTCATCTTTAGCTTGGTCCGTTCTACCCTCTCCCATGCGGTTTTTACCTTTTTGTATGCTTTTTCCTATGCACTTACCACAATCTTTTTTATCCTGGTTTATTTGGTTCCCTTCCTTGAAGTCCCATTCACTTAATAGACATTTCTTCCACAAAGTATTCGACTTAAGAGATTTGTATGCTTATATTAGCACACAAGTAATTCTTAGTAAGAACCGAGTCCTTGAACCTATTAGCAGCAGAAATGAACCCCAAATTACAATTATGAAAATTACTCTATCTCTGTGCAGCTTACACTAAAAAAAGGGGGAAGAAGGAAAGTAGGAACTTGAGCTTCTGCAAATCTTAGTTGTCTGAAGTGAATATTATGCCTATGTAATTCATTTGTCACCTAGCTGATTGATCTTGCAATCTGTTGTCAGTATTTTGCAGTTGCCCTTTGGGATTCCTCGTGGCTTGGATATTCATCTTGGAGTAGGTTTTATTATAGTTCTTTATGGCAAGACATCATAGCTATATAAAATACACAGTTTGAAATTAAAACAGTGTTAAAGAATAACGAAGAGAGGAAATAGCAGCATATGAGACCAAAAGGAAAAAAAAACACCACCTTTGTCACAACAGCACATGGATGTATGAGTAATGCAAGAATTTGTTTAAAAGAGGAAAAAAAAAGAGTAGTCAGGTTTTTTTATGGGGGTGTGGAGAAGTAAACGATGTACTGTTGTTTTAATTTTAAACACAAATGTTTGAGGAAGTGGGTTGTAGCAGTTGTTTCACATTTAATTATTTCTCAACTTGCAGTCCAGCTGAAGTGTAGTGATAGCGTAGTGATTGCTGCTGTTTTCTTGAGAAAGTTATGTCATGTTATACTCTCCTCCACACCTGAGGTGAACCAGTGGGGGCCTCTTTTATGCTGTTTTCTTCTGCTCTGATTTACAGTCCCCTACACGCCCAAATCGGACAGACCTGGAAGCACACAGAAAATGGTAGGTTAAACTTTCATTTTAAATTTGCTCTTGGACCTCTTTGCCTGAAACTGTTGTGGAAGACTTTCAAGAACACAACCGCCTTTTCTCCTTTCTAAATATTCCAATTTACTGTTGTGGTTAGGAGCTGCAATACATACTGACAGGAAAGTAAAGCATTTAATTGCACTACTACCGACTGGCTAGCATGTATTTGTACTACTGTGCTACAGAACGAGTATAATTGTGTCTTTTCTAATTGTTATGATTTCTGCAGTGTTCTTTTTTCTCTAGCTTTTCCCCCTTTCACATTTTAAAATACATAAGGAACACCTACAGAAAATTTCCCTCAGAAGCACCCAACTGTGTTGTTGCTGAATATTTGAAGAATACCCTAAATTGTCATGAGTTTGTGCTGCGCTAGCTAATGTCAGCAGATTAGTGTCTTTTGAACTTCTTATAAAGCCAAGCCGAGCTTACGTCTAGCTGTACTTTTAAAGTAGTTTCTCATTGCAAAGACATTGCACAAGTTAGCATTTCTTGTTTCTCCTAATTAAAACAATCTTTTTTATTTGTTCTGGTACTAAAACAGACACAAGGTGTTATACATACAAAGAGTTAAACACAACATCAGAATGTAACAGTTTGAAGTTAAAGGATCAGACAATGTCTTAAAAGGATATTGGGAAACACAAGGCTGTACAAAGACATGAAGCACAAAGATGGTAGGAGCTAGGCTGCCTCTGCATCTATATTTAGGTTCCTAAAAATACTGTAATCTGTAAGAGTTCAAAATCTGAGCATTGTGAACATCTCAAAAGGCATTTTTTGACTTCTTAAGAAACCTACAAGCTTACTCAAGATGATTTTTAAGGCCTAGATTCGTTGCACCTAGTTTGAGGCACCTAAAACTGTAGTGTTCCTCACTGTTCATTGTGCAGTCAGACAGACCTCCCTCTATGTTCAAACCTGAGCAGTGCCTGAGTGTCTGAGCAGTGCACCTGCGGGGCTTCTCTGTTCTGTCCTGTCTCTCTTTAAAATGTCAGTGTAGCTGATGTTGTTGGCAATGAATTGAGGAACTTGCATAAATGCCTAAAATTATGTGCCTGAGTGCAGTGGCCAAGTACTAGTTCAAGTAGACGGGTTGTGGCAATCTAGACTGTAATCTGCCCTTGCCCAGGTCCTACTCTAGCACTTGTACAGAGGGTTTTAGTTTGGATTATCAAATCTTTAAAGGTTGCTTCTGATTAACTTTTCCTCAAGAGCAGCAAATCTGCAGTTTGACCTTTAGTTAAAAGCAAAGGTTTTCCTTCCTTCTTTTAAGGGAAGAAAGGCTGCTGGAGTTTGATCTGTGGCAGTGGTCAGTATTTCCCTTGGTGGCTGCAGATACAGTGTCTGTGGCTGACAATGGGTGGCACGGCACAGTCTGCTGTAGTGTGCATCAACAGATAAAGGTAAATGTCATCCATGTGATGGAGCAACTTGTCGCGCAGTGCAGAGAGTCTCTGCATTTTCCCTGCCACCTCACTGGATGCTCCATAGGCACCTGCCTTGAGTAACAACCTTGGCCCCTGGGGTGCATTGGTTTGGTATCTTCAAAGAGATGGGTGTAGGCAGGAGCTTGGGCACTAAGGGCCATTCATTTAGGATAGGTACTCTTTGATTTTTATTTACATAATAAATCTTTTACAGGCATGATATAATTTGTCCCTTGGAAAAAATGGAAGTCAAAACATTTTCAAGAACATATCCAGACTTTTTTTCAGCAAAGTCCTTTTCCATTCAAAGAAAGACCTTCAGTTTTCCATGAAGTTCACAACAATAGTAGAGCTCCTCCTTCTCCCTCCAAAATCCCTACCCATATTGGTGGTGGAAAAATAGTTTTTTAAAAAAACCCTAGGATGGTGGGAGGAAATGAATCCATTTTATCTTCTCCATATTGGCTCCTCGCTTACCCTGATTATTCTTATTCATCATTTTCCTCCAATCGCTTACCCATATCAAGAAATAAGAAAAGATAATAATCCTCTAATGTTGACTGGTTAGACTATACTGAAGACACTGGTGAATTCTCTTACTCAGTGGCCTCCATTTGAATGAGTTTTCAAAGTGAATTGCTATAAACCTAGTTAAGGTTATGTTGATCCTTAACAAATGACTGTACAAGAGCTGAAAATAATTAAATGTGAATTCACAGCCATGGTCTGGTCAGTCCAGATTAGCTTTCCCTAAGTAACTCTATGAATGATAGCCATAGCTACCAGCCAGGATATCTAGCTACACTGACTTTTTTTCTGGGGATCTGCTGAAAACAAGAAAGCATCATAGTACTTCCTGACAATGGGAAAGGAAATTGTGGTAGAGGAAGGGCTATGATGTGTTACAATACGAGGTTACTGATACGGATATCACGTGACAATACACTGAATTCAAGGTCTGCAGTGTGTTTTTACATTTTTCCTTCTGTAGTTCAGTTTTATATGCAAAACCAGACTGAATTAATACCCAGAGTAACTCTGGCTGTTGAATCTAGGTAGCAGAAGTGCAGTGCTGTGTGAGGCTTGATCTAATTTCCCTCACATGTACTGGCCTGCTAGTCATTAGAGCACTCTTCCAGATACACAGATGCATAGGTAGATTTAGCATAGTTATTTAAGGTAATGCAAAAACACAAAGTTATGCAGGGGAAACAGTGGTCTAAGTAAACACTTTTATGCCAAATTGACCCACTGAGTGGATGAGGAGTGGGTGTCATTTACCTGGACTTCAGTAAAACTGTGACACTGTATCCCACAACATTGTTCTGGAGAAACTGGCTGGTCATGGTTTGAATGGTTGTGCTCTTTGCTCGGTAAAATAATGGCTGGATGGCTGTATTGGGTTTTTCTGTGAGGGGGTTGGGTTTGTTGCCTGGTAGCGGGGGAGGGCTGTGGAGACAGCCATGTAAGAAGCTACTAAAAAGCTCTCCCAGCTCCAATGTCGGACCCACCTCTGACCAGGGCCGAGCCAATCAGTGCAACTGCAAATTCATGTATTTAAGGGGTGTGTAGCATATGGCCTGCTCTCTCTCTTCACCAGCCCTGACCAGAGCAGCCCTGCCCCAACTTAAGCTCAAGACTTGCTGCATCTCCAGTCTAAAAGAGAGAGCCAGGAACTTTTTAGAACCATCAGAAGAGACCTGCAGCAGAGACAGAAGAGGGACCTGAGGAGAACAACTGTGCAGACACCAAGTTTTGTGAGAAGCGGCTAAAGGAACTGGGGTTGTTTAGGCTGAAGTAAAGGATGCTGAGGAGGACCTTATCACCCTGTACAACTACCTGAAAGGAGGTTGTAGTGAGGTAGATTTCAATGTATTTTCACATGTAGCAAGCAATAGAATGAGAGGAAATAGCCTGAAGTTGCACCAAGGGAAGTTTAGATTGGATATTAGGAAAAGTTATTCGCAAAATGGTTAACATGCACTGGAACGGGCTGCCCAGGGAAGTGATAGAGTCAGCATTCCTGGAGGTATTTAAAATATATTTACATGTGGCAGTTAGGAACACGGTTTAGAAGTGGACTTGATAGTATTAGGTTGAAGATTTGACTTGATGATCTTAAGGGCCCTTTCAAACCTAAATGATTCTATGATTCTGTAAGAAGATTCTAAGAATCATTATGATAATGTTAAATTTTCACTAGACACCTGTCAGTCAGGTTGGTTTTGATAATTTACATTAGCTGTTAAGTGACTATAGATTTTCTCTGTCTTTCATATGGTTCTAAAACTTTGCTCATTTGCACTATGATACAATTGCTGTCTTCTAAGTATTTTAAACCATTTGTTTCCCTTTAAAAAAAAATCAGAGATGTAGCCTTTAATCACCTGCTGTGTCATTTTTTCAGTAGATTTTTTCCTATGATTCATTATTTAAAGAGTTATATATATCTTTAAAATACAACACATAGTGATAAGAAGGTAAACAAAGCATTTGAGGAAATAACAACACACGTCTTCCCTATACAAGCAGTTCTACCTACACATCCACTTCTAGCCAGTGTGAGAAACAAGACCCCTGGTTAGCTGTGTATTTGGTCAGACTCACCTATGTGCTTGATGTGATGTCCTATGACATCGTCTCATTGCATCAAACTAATACTTTCCTATTTCCTTAAGTTTTAGGTACCTCGTGCAAAGATGCCACATGCATTGCCATTTGTCTTCCTCTTTCTATTTCCGATGCTGCTTTCAGGGGCTTGGTTTCCCAAAAGTTTACCCTGTGACGTTAAAGCATCCGAAGATACTGTGACAGTGGACTGTGTTGATCGGCGTCTCACAGAAGTCCCCAGAGGGATCCCTGCAAATGCTACCAACCTTACGCTGAGTATTAACCATATTCCCCACATCCATCCAAAAACGTTTGCTCACCTTGAAAACCTTGTAGAGATTGACTTCAGATGCAATTGTGTGCCTGTCAGAATGGGGCCCAAAGACTGTGTGTGTACAATGAGACCAAAGATTGAGTATGGCAGTTTTGCTGCCCTGAAAAGATTAAAATCACTGTATTTGGATGCAAACCAGTTGATGGAAATACCCCGGGGTCTTCCCACTACTTTAAGTCTGCTAAGCCTGGAAGCAAACAGTATCTCTTTTATCCAAAAAGCCAATTTTTCAGAGCTAGGAAACATAGAAATCTTGTACCTGGGTCAGAACTGTTACTACCGTAACCCATGCAATATTTCATTTGAAATTGAAGAAACAGCCTTTCTGGAGCTGAAAAGGTTAACAATACTTTCCCTGAAGTCTAACAACTTAACTCATATTCCACCCAATTTGTCATCCACCTTAAAGGAATTGTACATTTACAATAACATGATTCAAGTGATTCAAGAACAGGATTTAAGTGCCCTTTCCAACCTGGAAATTCTTGATCTAAGTGGTAACTGCCCCCGTTGCTATAATGCCCCATATCCTTGTATTCCCTGCCCCCATGGAACAATTGAGATACATTCAAATGCTTTTGATTCCTTGATAAATTTAAGAATTTTGCGACTGCACAGTAATTCTCTTCAAAGCATACCCAGCAGATGGTTTAAAAACATCAGGAATCTCAAAGAGCTTGACCTCTCCCAAAATTTCCTCATAAAGGAGATTAGTGATGCTCGGTTTT